AAGTATTACACCAAGGTACTTAACTTTGTCTGTCACCGGTATCTTCTTGCCCAGGAAGCAAGGTTCAGTATATGTAGAAATTTTTGTCTTTCTTGTGAAAAGATAGATATCCGTCTTCGCCGGGTTAACATTGATGCCTCTCGTTTGATCCCAGCTCAAGGCCGTATTCAGAGAATCCTCAGCTCTTCTACACAAGTAATTTGGATCCTTTCCCTTTTAAAGTATTACGACATCGTCTGCATAGCAGACAGGTATAAGTCCTTTCTCGGTTAGGGTCCTTAGGAGGCTATTAATCGTGGTAACCCAGAGTAAAGGTGACAAAATGCCACCCTGTGGTATACCGCGAAATACCTTTTTAAAACAACAAAATGTATTTTGAAGTCTCCATAATTTAAACTAATCAATAAATCAAACATTTTAACAACTTTCGAGGATTAATTTTAATTTAATCGCTAATCTTTCATCTAAAGATTGGCCCTTAAACGCTAAATTTTAACTAAAATCTAAACCAATCTAATCTTGAAAAAGCCTCTAAAACTAATTTAGTTTAATATAACGAATTTTATCTAAAGACTACCAGAACTATCATTTTTATCTTAAAAACTATCTAAATTTTATCTAATTTAACTTAAAATCTAATTAATTTATCTTAAACCTAATTTTTATTAAATTATCTAAATATCGATAATATAACTTAATCTAAACTTAATTTAAAAGTTTAACTTTATTTCAATCTAATTAATTAATTTTATCTAAAATTAAACTTAATCCTAATCCTAAAACCTATAATTATAATAATACTTTAACACTTATACCTTATACACCCTACTCTAACATACATACATAAACACACAATAAACCTAAAAATCGATAAAACTATGAGAATTTAAAATCAAAATTATAAAATAAACCCACATTCAGCTTCACTTCAGGCCTGTTGTCATCTTTGGATTATGTTTGGTAAATTTTGAATTTTATTTGTGTTCATTTAAATTCTCTATATACATAAGTGTTCTAAATTGAATGTTTGAATTTTTATATGTTAATGATGAAACAGAACACGACTGTAACTTCAAGCAAAAACGTTGTCAAAACAACATAGACCCATAATTAAAGCTACGGCAGTAACTACAAATTGTGTAAATTGTAAATTGTGCAAATGTAAATACTCACAACAACAATTTACTCTCCCACTCTCATATAAGCAAGAGAAAAAAGGAATACAAAAAACAATTTCTCAACCAAAACCATAAGTAACAAAACAAAAAATAGTAAAGGTAAAAATAATTTTATAACTGTTATTCTGAGTAATTTATTTTAAAAATCAAAAATAAATCACACTTCAATCACTTCGGTTATGTGGCCGAGTTATTCTCAGTCTCTGGTACGAACATGGTTAGGTTAGGTTGATAGGGGGATGTATACTACATCAAATCCGAAGAAATACACCTAGGCCACTATCGGGACTGTTGTGCGCTCCAATTCATGAAAAAAAAATTGTTCACTGAATGTATTATTTTTCCATGTTCAAAAACTCAGTTTCCAGGACGTAATTCCTGAGAATCTTCCAATCAGTTTTGGTTAAGAATGTTATTTCCGGAATAACATCACTTCCAAGATACTCGGATCTAACTTCGACGAATTCCTGACAGTGGCAAAGAAAGTGCTCCAGAGTTTCACTGTCCTCTCCACATGCTCTACATTCGTCTGAATCCGTACGTCCAATTTTGTATAGATGTGCACGTAATCCTGTGTGTCCACTCAGAATACGTACCATCATACAAACCTCAGACTTGCTCATTTTGAGGAGATTTCTCGTCTTGCTATCATCAGGGTCACCCCATAGAATCTTTGTGGTTCTACCCACCGTTTCATTATTCCAAGAGGCCTTATGGGATTCTCTCATCCATATTTTTAATTCAGCTTTTGTTGCGTCGAATGGTTTTGCTTTTGTCAGGTTAACTACATCGAGCTCCCTTCCCTTTAAAGCTATTACATTTCGTTGCCGACTACTCCCGAGTGGCCTGGTACCCATATGATGTAAACCTTACCTCTGGGAGAGTATTCAGTTAAAGCTTTCTTACAATCCAATACGGTCTTAGATTTAATTCTATCACCTGATATCGCCCTAATTGCCATCTGGCTGTCGGTAAATATATTAAGTCCTGTGGGCGCCATATTTATTCTAATCCAATTTACACATTCCGTTATTGCTCGTACTTCTGCCTGGAAGCTTGTGTTATGATTAGGTAAACGGTGGTATATTTCTGTTTCTGGATCTTCAATATAGAACCCCAGGCCCACTTTGTCCCCTAATTTAGAGCCATCCGTGTAGCAACGGATTCCTACTGGTATTTGTTCCAATGTTCCGCTTGACCAAGACATTCTATCTGGGATGAATGTGTATAACCTTCCAATGTGTCCAGTATACATTGATAACGTTTCCTATAACCATTTTTGGCCAGTTCGCCTAAAGTAAAGAGCCGTTCGGCTGTAAGCGCCGCCTCATATCTTATATATGTTTCAATGGGTGGAATATCTAGCAACGTTTCCAGAGCCTTGGTTGAAGTAGTACACATGGCACCACTTATACCCAAGCAGCATGTACGCTGAACTCCCTGTAGTACTTTGATATTACACTTTTTGTCCAAAGCAGTCCACCAGATTATTGAAGCATAAGCTAGAATTGGTCTAATTACACTTTTATAAATCCAATTTGTCATAGTAGGACTAAGACCCCATTTCATGCCTGAGGTTCTCCTACGTATCGCCCAGCACCGATGTGCCTTGTTGATCCTATCCCCTATGTGGTGTCTCCATTTTAATTTCCGGTCAAGTATTACACCAAGGTACTTAACTTTGTCTGTCACCGGTATCTTCTTGCCCAGGAAGCAAGGTTCAGTATATGTAGAAATTTTTGTCTTTCTTGTGAAAAGATAGATATCCGTCTTCGCCGGGTTAACATTGATGCCTCTCGTTTGATCCCAGCTCAAGGCCGTATTCAGAGAATCCTCAGCTCTTCTACACAAGTAATTTGGATCCTTTCCCTTTTAAAGTATTACGACATCGTCTGCATAGCAGACAGGTATAAGTCCTTTCTCGGTTAGGGTCCTTAGGAGGCTATTAATCGTGGTAACCCAGAGTAAAGGTGACAAAATGCCACCCTGTGGTATACCGCGAAATACCTTTTTCCTGATAGTTATATCGTACATCTCGCAGCTTATCCATCTGTTCCTTAGCATATGGTTGATCCAGTTACGGAGCACCCGGTTAACATAAAACTGGTCTAGGGATTGGATAAGAGTATCAGTGTGCACGTTATTGAAGGCACCTTCGATGTCAATGCATACCGCCAGTGTATACACCATGTAGTGGACGACTACGTTTAAAGCAGTTTCCACCGATCGTCCCTTTACATAAACATGCTGCTTATATTTAAGGTCTTTGTATGGTATACTGCTTTTAACCATGCTATCGACTATCCGTTCCAAGGTTTTAAGTAGGAAGGACGTAAGACTTATCGGTCGATAGGACTTAGGTGTCGAATAGCTAGGTTTCCCTAGTTTGGGTATAAATATTACCCCTGCATCCTGCCATTTAACTGGGGTATATGCCAATTTTAAGCATGCAGTGAATATCTGTGACAGATGTACGGAAACCATTCCCGCCTTCATCTGCAAAAGTGCCGGGAAAATGCCATCCGGCCCTGCAGCTTTATAGGGAGCAAAGCTCTTGATTGCCCCTTTAACCATGACAGATGTAATAACTATTTCCGTGTTACCCTCCCCTTCCTCCAATATCGGTTCATCTATGTTATTCGATATACCGGGTGGGAAATGAGAGTCCATTAGGAGTTTCATTGTCTCCTCCATATCCTCAAGCCTCCTGCCCGTGTCATCGATCATGGATTCCGGTTGGACATGAGTTTTGGATAGGAATTTTTTTATCTTCGATACATCATTTACGCTATCTACCTGTTCACAGAAAAGTTTCCAGGAGTCTCGTTTGGCTTTTCGAACGATTTTCTTATATTCACCAAGTTTATTACGATACTAATCCCAGTATACTGCGGTCTTTTTACGCCGTGCCCGGTTAAATAGTTTGCGAAGAGTCTTCCCAAGGTTCCGGATCTCCCCAGTTACCCAGGGTTTTTCCTGGGCAGATCTCCGCTCTCGCAGAGGGCAGCTGTGCTCAAACGATTCAATCAGGGCACTTGTGAACGTTTCCACTTTGGCATCTATATCCTCTTTATTTCTACATTGAAAAGTGTCCTGACATAAACGGTTCTTTAGTAAGGAACCGAACATTGTCCAATTAGTTTTAGACTTATTCCGAAACTTTATCGGCTTTGGTGGCGGCCGTAGTATTTTGAATCTTATGTACCGATGGTCAGAAAAGGCGTGCTCGTCCGAAACTCTCCAATCCTGAATTTCCTTTATAAGCTCTTCTGAACATATAGTTATATCTAATACTTCTTCTCTGATTCTATTGACGAAGGTAGTATTAAATATTAATTATATGGTAGCATTCCTTTAAGCATATGTATGTAAACATCAAATCAAATTTATTTTCAGATGGTTAATCGAGTTGACATACATTCATAAGTAGAAATTGAACCTGCCTTCTTATATTTTGTATACCATGCCAAAAATAGTAAAAGAGAAAAATATTTTATTTTGAAGAACTTACTATATTTTACCGCCTTTATGATATCATAAATTTTAGGTTTTTGTATCAGTAATCACAATGCTGTAATAATTTTTTTAAAAAATTGCAACTCCTTTATCTGCATATCTGCAACTGAACCATTGATTTTGAGCGGCATTTTTTCCAGGGCGATTTTATAGGAAGAATTAAGAATAATGAATTAATTTTACACTTTAACAATAACAATAATAATAATTTGGCGGAACTAAAATCAGCGGTTTGGCAGCAGATGAAAGAGTTGGAATTTTAAGAAAAAAATCCGTCAATATTATTAATGATCCATGTTATCACAATTACAAAAATATCGCGTGAAGCTTTATATTTGTACATAGTTCGGTAAAAATTTATACTTTTTATTTATTAAGGAACTTAACCAATAATTCGACAAATTTCGATGGTTGATCAAAATGTACTAAATGTCCAGCATCAAGCCAATGGATCTCGGAGTTAGGAAATAATTCTTGTATTTGCGGCCAGCTTTTGGGACTTAAAATATTAAAAAAAAATATCGTTAGCTAATTTCCATTTTTACACTTTTCGTTAACATACTCAACAAAGTTTGACTTTTTTCCACATACAAACATCATTCTTCCCATGTAAGGATCTAGTCCAGCTATTTCATCCATGAAGTTAGTAAATTGCATTAAATTTTTATGTAGAGCATCGACATTAACTGCCCAAGAGAATCTGGAAAAAAACAATAATTCTGATATAACAAATTAAAAAAACTAATTAAAATGTTTATAAAGGTTGGACCACCAAAGTCGAACAATTCTTTATCGTTTATGTCTACAAAATTAATTTACCAATTAAAATAAAATTTTGGATTTGAATAGCCTAAGTCTTCTTTTTACTCCAATAAATATATTTTTGATATTTCATGTAATATAGTTTTGTAGGAAATGGCTTCATAGCTTAAAAGAAAAAAGTTGATTTTGCACGAGACTTTTGTGGCTGCCAAATTGTATGTATGTATGTTTGTATGTATGTATGTATGTATGTATGTATGTATGTATGTATGTATGTATGTATGTATGTATGTATGTATGTATGTATGTATGTATGTATGTATGTATGTATGTATGTATGTATGTATGTATGTATGTATGTATGTATGTATGTATGTATGTATGTATGTATGTATGTATGTATGTATGTATGTATGTATGTATGTATGTATGTATGTATGTATGTATGTATGTATGTATGTATGTATGTATGTATGTATGTATGTATGTATGTATGTATGTATGTATGTATGTATGTATGTATGTATGTATGTATGTATGTATGTATGTATGTATGTATGTATGTATGTATGTATGTATGTATGTATGTATGTATGTATGTCAGGCCCTTTCGTTAAATCGAAATATTCGTTATATCGGAATTATTTTTTCTAGTAAATTTCTTTATTTAATGGACAAAAAACCATTCAAATTAATGTATGAAATTATTACTTCAAATTTTATTTCAAACAACTAATACCAACGCACACGTTTTTCCATTTTGAACATCTGAACGGATTGAAAAATTTGTGAAGGATTTTAGTTTTCTAACAACATTAATTTCCTGCTATTTCCTTAACCTTATTTTATTATCTAGAAGATAGAATTAAACTCTTTTGAGGAAAAACTGAACTTGAGAATCGATAACTGAGTCTCATGCTGATAATTTCAAAACCCTGGAATATTGCGCCATATTGGGGTATCGAAATAATTTATTTTGCTGTAAAATTTTATTATTTCAATGTATCCCTTCTTTTAAACACTATTCAAGCTAAATTTACCATTAAATTCACATCTAACAGATTTATGCTTTTTAGATTATAATGTAAGGAATTTTGATCGATAGGTCAGATATGTAGTATAACTAAAATTAGGAATATGGGCGACTTCTTTCATTTTTACATTATATTCTAATTGCTCAATCAAGTTTTTGATATTAACAATATAAATATAAAATCAAAAGCTGGATTTGTTTAGGCATTTTTTCTTTTTATTCGTTATATCGAGTAGTTAATGTTAAAAATTTGGCTGTTCGTTATATCGGATTTTCGTTAAAGTGAGATTCGTTATACCGGGATTTGCCTGTATGTATGTATGTATGTATGTATGTATGTATGTGTGTATGTATGTATGTATGTATGTATGTATGTATGTATGTGTGTACCCTGCAGTACGATGAACTAGTTCGACCACGGCGATATTAACAGCCACTAAGAACTACAACTACTGAATTTTCAACGCACTAGCAACATTATTTACTGGTGAATTTAACATGGGGATGTCATTGAGAATGGCCAATTGACACCTTATGCATAACATGTTTTCATTAATATCACTATTGTCCAACAAAAACAAAAAATTAATTCTGAAACTGGGGTTGAACTTGGGGTCTATCGTTTTGTAGTTAGAAGCTCTCACCACTGAGCTACTGATCTCTTGTTCATACAAAGCTCTAATTGTTGTTATGAATAACATGCAATTTGTATAACAATTTTTGCATTCTTCTGCTTCATTAAATGCAAACGGTAACTTTCAGCATTACATTTCGTCAGAAATGTGCCATGCGGTTACTTTAAGCATATAACATATAATTTGTCTGGGATTTATTTTCATAAACTTAATGCGAAAATTTATCAAATGTGAACTATTGATTACAATAGTGAATTGTAGTGAACGTTTCGACAAAATAACGACCACTTTATTTACCAGAGGAAACTAGTCAGTTGGATGTGCGGTAATATAGCTAGCGAAAGGTGTCAATTGGCACTTTTCGTACTGTAGGGTATGTACGTATGTATATTCTATAAACACACATATACAGTGAATCAATTAAGTAATTTGCCTATGTAAAATTTTATAAATTTTAAGAAAAAACTTTATCTGAACAATTATTTTTAGCAAAATAAAGCAATTTGTTTGTTGTATTTTTTAAAGAATATCTTATATTTTAATTTTCTACCATAAAAAGTAAAATCGTGATATTAATTATCGAGATTTTTCATAAAATGTGAACGTATTGTTAATTTTTAAGGTCAATAAAGTATTTTGCTTTTTTAGGTTTTTTGTTCATTTTTTTAATATTGCTGCATTATTTTATAAAATTTAATATTTTTATTACTCCTATATATTAGAATAACATTTTTTAGATATTTTAGTAGTGGAACGACTAAAATTTCTTAACCGATTTATTATCCTATATACCTATAAGAATTTTCAATATTTGACTTAACATGGAATCTATCGTTTCTTTGATTTAATTTTGAAAATAATAAGTAATTTTGAATTGGATACATAATATATTAGATAATCAATGGATTTGGACCTAGAAAAAATGTTTAGTCGGGTATAAATCTATAGATTATAACAAAAATGATCTGGGTTTTTGGTAATTTTGAATTGATAAACAAAAACTACATTACGGAAACCCCATCTATTTGGGGAGTACTGTGTGAATTTTATTCAGAATTGTATGATATTGATTCTTATTCAATAAAGCTAACACTAAGTACCATCCTAGCCACTCTAAGTATGGGGATATCACCGTATACCACTATAGAACTATTACATGCTAGAATCTTGATATTCTACCTCATATTTTGAATGCATTATTTTATGAATAAAATACAGTAGGCGTAGTTGGATTTGGATAGTTATTCTTGATTTGGGTTCTAACTATATATAAGTGTATGTATTAGCTGAAAAATATTGCTTTTGTGGATCTTAGGTGATGAGAACCGCCTGTATTTGTAAATATCTAAATTAAGTATTTTTCCCGTACCACACGATAGTTCACTTTATATTGTTTCCAAACAACCTAAGGTCTGTTTAGAGGTCTAAATTTAAACATAGTGTTCTTTTAAGTTCGTATATGGACTTTGGAGAAGATAAATGATGACTTCGATGGTTTTTGCTTGGATACAAGTCGCTCTCCTTTGACAGTTAAAGATTTTGAAAGACAACTCAGTGCGTTTTTTTAAATAATTCTTTGTGTTATTTCATCAATTTCTATATTTTATATTTTTTAATGATTGATTAAACATCTCATAATTGAATTTCATTGATTTATACTTGTTCTAAAAATCTAAACTAATTTTTTATATTGGAATTGCCTCATTATTTCCCTTTAAACATTTTTAACGCAAATAACTACACAGTTTCACACAATAAGGATATGATTTTTGAAAATTACAATTGAAAAATACTTAACACGTGTCCTTTTAACAATAAAACAATAAATTTCAAAAAGCAATTAAAAAATAATTTGAAAAACCCAACAAAATTAACTGGAAATTTCAATATGCAAAATACTTTATTGACGTGCAAATTCTGATGAAAAATAATAAAATGCAACAACAAATGCACCAACATTTTTATTTTAATATTTTTTTCTTGGTTTTCCCATTCTACACAATCTATATTTTCAATTGGAAAAGATAAATAAACTTTTTACCTGTTTTTTGGAATTTTATTTATGAACAAAAAACTAAATTCTCTTAAAAAAAGGTAGGCAAAAAACATAGTTGATACACTGTAAATAAACTAGATTTTTGTACCCGGCGTTGCCTGGGGTTTTAAGTGGTTTCATAACATTATACTTAAGTATTCTCCCGTTGGAGTAAACTAAAAAATCTGCTTTATGTCCATAGATAAATCTCTGAAATTTTTCAACATTCAGAAATATAAAAATTTCGTTTATTTAAATAACATAACATTGCATTTACGAAATGAAAAAATTTTACTCATTTTACTCCTCACTAAGAGATTACTTCACAATTTTTTTTTCCAATTTACAAAGCTAAAAAATTCCAAAATTATAATTCTAATACTATCTAGTTAGGTAAAACTATAATATACATATTTAACTTAGGAGAAAGAATAATTCTTGACTTAAAGCAAAAAGTGATTCCCTAACTTAATCATGTTTCAAAAAATGCTGAAGGTCTCCTTATGAAGAAACTCCTTACAATTTCTTTGTGATCTTATAAAAGAAATTTCATTGAATACCAAAAATACTACCCATACCTCTTTCTCCATTGAATTATTCAAATTTATGTATTTTGTTTAATATATTTTGCATCATTTCAGAAATCGATGTTGTTAAACATATATTAAGAAAATCACGTCAGAGAGGAATCTTTCCCACTTTAATGATGTTTTGCAAAAAACATTTTTGAAAAACACATTTTTAACCGATTACGGAAAAATATTAATAAAACAAGTAAGAAATTATAGTCGGGCGAGGCCGACCATATAATACCCTACACCTGTTACAAAAAAAAATGTGATTTAGTTTTCATAATAAAGCATTTAAGTTGAATTGTACCTTGCATCAGATATACTTAAGCCATTTATTGTTGAATAAAATTGTGGACATTAAAGTCGAATTTTGAATTTTGTATGTATGTATGTATGTATGTATGTATGTATGTATGTATGTATGTATGTATGTATGTATGTATGTATGTATGTATGTATGTATGTATGTATGTATGTATGTATGTATGTATGTATGTATGTATGTATGTATGTATGTATGTATGTATGTATGTATGTATGTATGTATGTATGTATGTATGTATGTATGTATGTATGTCAGGCCCTTTCGTTAAATCGAAATATTCGTTATATCGGAATTATTTTTTCTAGTAAATTTCTTTATTTAATGGACAAAAAACCATT